TTTATACGAAGCGAAAGTCTCCTCAATAATTATTTATAATTATATATTGATTATTAATTAGTTACTCTACTGTTCTATCTAGATTGCAGGTCGCATCTAGTCTGGGTCCCGGAAACACCCACAACGGGCGACAGGCCAATCAAAATCTCACAATATGGTTGTATAGCAACCGTGGAAAAACCTCATCATTAGGCCTTAAATCACCAAAAATTACCTAACTGACTAAGTGGTTATTAGAGAATGATATAAATTGCTAAAACTACTCTTGCCGAACATTACCAACAATTATACTGGCAAATATTTGTACTGGCGATCACACTAAAAAGTAGGATTTCGAAGAGTCCTAGCTTACCTTGAAAGTCGCATGAGCTCAATGATTCATTAAAACACATGGCTGTGCAACCGATTGATAACGTGTCGCTATGGTGTGCACGATACGGTCTCAAGTTTCGCTGCGAGTACTGTTATGAGCTTGATGATCTCGGAACTGCAGTCTAGGTGCGATGGGAAATACTTGTGAGAGGCAAGGTGGAGTAAACTTGACTAATATCATAATGTTTACAGATATAATAGAAGAAGAAACTCCACTATCGTTCCTTAAATCATACTTAGTGACCTGGAGTAAATAAGATCTAATTCACGAAACTAAAAATTTCTTCAATACATTAGAAGGTATTAGATTGCATAGTTAAGTCACACTCGCAATTAAATCATTTGGAAGCTATAGTATGCCTAGCAAGTGGCTATATTTGCGAACCGAGTACTGGGTCACACCATTTGAAATGTCCCGTAAGCCTTGCTTTCTTTCCTTCATAAATTTCATAACCCATAACTTTCATTTTTTTCAAAGAATATCCCGGAAAGCAATATGCAGGATCATTTACATGCAATGATCAAAGGCTTCTGTGGGATTAGGCCTCGTCAATGTTTGTAACTAGACAAAGTGAGCGACAGACATAAAGACAAATAAATAAATAAATAAATATTTATGTATTTATTTATTTAATTATTATAGCTGACAATCAAAAGTAAACAGAAATAAAATCTACGCTTAACACTTAGACATTATATATTTATAATATCATATATTAAATAAAGTAAGGTTTAAAATTAGTTCTCCTATGAAACAACCAAACCTTTGTGGCACACTTAGATAATATAGCATTTATTATTGATATATATATATTTCTTTATAGAAAAATCATTTGTGATTCTTTACAATATATATATATATATAACTCTAACAAATATATGTTCATTTAATATAGAAAAATATTCTATTTGCAACAGTTATATATTGGATATATTAAAAAATCAAAAACGATTTTCTTGAAAAAAATGGCATATATGCTCCGTACTTAAAAAATATGCATTTATTATAGTCAGATATTAAATATAGTATAAAAGAAAAAATGATTCTCTCAGACAAGTTGGGAGGAGATAGGAAGTCTGGTACCTTTACTTACGTTGTGTTCTTTCCTTCGTTTTTAAGTGTTACGCGAACATGTTTTGAGATGGAGAATCCAAATAGTTTTCGAACCAAATTTGATGCATTTTGGTATGCCCAATTTTAAATAAATGTCAGACCCTTGTCAAAATCAGGCCACCACAAAGTTGTGTGCTCATGTGATCGCAGTCATGTTGGAGTAACCTATCGCCCTATTCACTAAAGGGTAGTGTGGAAGGCAAAAATGCTTGTTGTGTCTGATGGGTGCGTCGGCCAGAGGAGGCTGGGGAGAAGACAGAAAGTGACCAAAAACCCATCGGTTTGCAGAACATGGCGTATCTGTGGGTGAGTGCAGAATAAGAGATGTCCCAAGAGTCATGCAGGCGAGCAGCTCAAGTAGGTCATTGCTGGATGCAATAAATCGGGGTAGAAAGTTAAGTAGGAACTATTTATGCATAACTGCTAGACTAACGTATAGAGAGGCTAGTTAGTCCACCTACAAAAACAAGACGGTAATGGTTGTAATAACATTTACACAATGCATGCACATTTGATTTGGCAAGGAAACAGCAAATCGTCTCAACCAGGCGGAAATCTCGTGTTACGCAATGAGGCCTGAGTAAGAAAAACACATTAGGTTACTCGAGCCGAACACTAGCGCTTTGAAACTGCTGCATATGCACATACATACACATATATACTAATACACATTCACATATACACCACTACATATAAACATGGATGGATATGAAAATGAGCTGACCAATCAATCTGATACTTCCTCAAATTCATTTTGGCTGGAATATATACAAAATGTCCAAATAAGCCGGAAAGTTTTATCGGCTCGGAGTTCGTTTGGATTTGTTGAATGAATGGGATTCGACCTGGACGACGTCCTCCAGCTCAGAACTGAAGGAGGGTGTCTGATCTACGATTGTTCATCTCTCAAACCTCCACTCGAAATGCAAGTCAGCTCGACAAGGCTCGCATCGCTTCCTCAATGGTATAGAGAGTTACTGTTGACATAGCTTGGATTATCTCGGACGGATCTGTCTTGCCGATTTAGGATTTAGCTGACGCTGCAGGTGAGACGTGAACGAGGTGGAAATCAAGAGCCACTTGAAGGAAAAAATGCTCTGCTGTGAGGGTAGAAGTCAAACACGATGCGATTCTAATCTCTGCCACGCCAATTTAGCAGTCTGTGTAAACTTAAAGCAATTGATGAAGTTTTTGGTTGTCGATTGATTAAAATGCCCAATTGTTCATGTTTATTATGAGTATAACTCCAAAGTATTACTACTTATTGAATAATAACCAAGTCTCTCTGAGTCCTTAAAGGTATTTAGAATGAAGGTGCATGAAGAAGAGATTCGTTAGTCGATCTCACCAGATGAGGACGGATGAAACTCGTTGTACTGCAGCCGTTTGGCTTTTATACGATATTCATTTGACGCAGTCCACGAGACTTCCTCCCTCTGTACGGGTGAAAAATTGCTGAGCTTTCGTCCATCATATGATGGACATCATCAGAGCTGGGCGTCATTCTTGTAAAAGTCTCACGTAAACACTAAAGCAGGAAGACTATCCGGTTCTATCTTACTTCTTATATAGACTCAAGCAAGCCATAAAAGTAAAAATTAAAAACCTAGATAGATCGACATTGGTTAATTTTGGTTAATTTTTCTTTCATACTGGTTCTGTTATTTTTGCTTGAACTTTCAATCAAGGGTCATTAACGTTTAAACCTCCAAGTGGTTTCGTAACTTGATTATCATGCTTACAAGCTCATATTTAATTATCTCAACCAGACTTATTTATGGACCTATGCAGTCTCGGTCAAAGATTTTCTCTTGGGTTATTATGTCTTGAGGATCGGAACCGGAGATTTAACCTTTGACAAATATGATTTAAGAACCGTATTGCATATAGATGCTAACACGCACAAATATCTATACTCATACAATCGAGCAAAAATAACAGAACAAGTATGAAAGAAAATTAACTCTATATCGATCTATCTAGGTTTTTAATTTTTAATATTTTTGGCTCGATTGAGTCTATATAAGAAGTAAGATAGAGCCAAATAGTGTTCTTGCTTTAGTGTTAACG